TCGTAAATTTCTATCGCTTGATGTAATCGTTCACGAATAGCATCAATGAAAAGATTTGCATCGGGATGACGTGTTGATTGACCATTGGATAGTTTAATGTCGAAACTAAGTGATAAGAGTTATTTCGGATCGACTAAACATTTATTATCAATGAAACAATCGTTAATTATTTATTTAAAATTAATATAAATGATTATATTCACAGAAATCTTAAATGTTGAATATCTTTCAATTTAATTAATATGAGAAAATATATTTAAATATAAAAAGATAATAATAACAACTAAAAGAAAGAAATTGGTCTATATTTATGTTAAAAAAATGATTTGATTTGATATTATCTCTTTTTTTTTTCTTATACATAAATAAATTCATATTTCAATGTTAATATACATATATGTTTTTAATTCTTATTTAATATTATTATTAATAAAATTAAAATGTTTCTTTTTTCTTTTATTTTTCTTTATTAATATATATTGAAAGAAAAAAAACACAAAAATATAACGATGAACGAAAATAAAGATAAAAATTATTAATATTAACCAAGTCGATAACGAGTATATTTCACAATAGCAGCAATAACTGCTCCAAGACATGCTATTTTTAATGATAATAATGCATAATTTGAAAATGTTTTTGATTCAATTGGTTTATCATCAATTGTTCTAAAGAAAAACAAAAAAAGAAAATATTTTTTTTATTATTATGAAAATAAAATTTTACAATTTCATTAAATGTTAAATATCATTAATAGTTGGTTGATTCCATTGTTTAATCATTCCTTGTACATGACCAATACCAACAACAACACTAGTTGCTGGAACAAAACCAGTCTGATTTGTTTCAATAGGAATTTTTTGTGCACATTTTCTTAATGAATATACTAAAAATTGATCACGTTCAGTAACAAATACGCGAGATAATTCAGGATATTGATCACTCATTTCTAATAATAATTTTTCAACATCTTCATTTCTAAAAATATAAAAAAAAAATTTTATGTTTATTTTATTAAATCACAAAAAGAAAAAATAAACAAACGTTATTTTATCTTTTGATGTTAATAATGACCAAACTAAACGCATTTTTTTCCATGCTGATAATGAATTAATAGCTCATTTTAATGTTATACCAACAAGACGATCACCAAGTACAAGATTACAACCAGGTACTTTTTGAGCCTAACATTCATTGTTTTTTTTTCAAAGTATTTATTAAGAAAAGAAGATTTTTATTTACTTCACGAAAAGCTGTTCGAAGTTCTCCTTCAGGTGCCATTCCTAATTGTTTAAGTTAAATCAGCTGTCATACTTAATAAAAGTACATGAATTATTCCATGAATAACTCCATTCTAAAATAAACTTTAATTTTTTTATCAATAAATAAACAATGCCAATGGATAAAAGCACAAATCTACTACCACTATTAATATGTGTTAATTTCATTAGAAGAATCAATATTTATCTTCCTTCATTTTTTTTCTATTATTATTGTTGTTAAATGTAAACAAATTTCTATGAATTAAATTATCTTAGAAAATATCTAATATCAGACTAAATAGTTTATGAACGATTAGATAGATAAATTATTTATATTATTTTCATAATCAGATTGAATAATTTTCATATATATAATTGACTATCGAGTACCTATGAATATACTTCACAATTATTTTCACCTTTAATGTACAGCCTCAAACGTTTACACTTTTCATCTAGTAACAGACACACAGACACCTAATATTATCGTACCATTTGGCCTTATATCCTTTATAGCTCTTATTTCTTCATCTAATTTTTGTGACACTCTCTTCAGGGTTTATGAATACTTGCATAGACTAGTCCTTGAGAACCTATCAATATTCCATAGAATAGTTCTTGAGAGTTTATGGTTATGGGTACTTCTATAGAGAATAGTCATTAAGGACTTATACATTTCCAAATATAATAGTTCCCGAGTAACCTTTTGATAGAATGATTCATCCTGAAAATATCTCATTGATTAAATGATTAAAAACTAGTTAAACTTACTATATGAATTATGTTTCTAATGAATTTTTCGAAAAAATAAAAAAACTAATTGGTTATCAATAAGTATTTAATAATTGAAAATATCTTTGTTTTTTGTTTCTCATGGAAAAACAAAACGGAGAATAATAAAAATAAAGTTTTTAGATAAATATGTAGAATGAAATGATCTATGTGAATCAATGTTATGTAGGTAAAAGCTAAGCAGATAGATGATTTACGATTTTATCCGATGGTATATTTCGATAAATAAGATAAATGTATATTACAGCTTTAATAACACTTCGAAGTTTTTCAAAATTCAATTGTGACGCTTCTTTCATCAATGTATTTTCATTTAATGAAAGTATATTGATCTATATTAAATAATTATTTTATTTTATTTTGTTATTTTTTTAAATCTTAATAAAAACTTACACGACTTTGACATAATTCAACCATAACAATATCTGGTTGCGTCATTTCAATTATCTTTTTAAATTAAAAAAAACAACATATTTTATTTGAAAATAATAATCGAAATAAAAAAAAAACATACTTGTGCTACTTCACGTTGACTTTTTTCACTAAAAAATTTAAAAGTAAAAAAAAGAAAAGAAAATATTAAATAAAAAACTTAAAATATGCTGTTACAACCAGATAAACAATTCCATTAGTTGTATATTTAATGATTTATCGATTAATTCAATATCTTCTTGCTCATTTATTAAAGATTGATTATTTTCCATTTCAATAATATGTTCTTCAGGCACATATATTTCCATTTTATATATCTATAACAATCAATTTATTCTTGTTTTCTTTTTTTGTTTTTTTAATTTGTTTTAAAAAATATCATCTATTTTATGTTATTGTTCTATGAAATCCATACAGATATATATATATATACACAAAAAAGTAAAGAAAAGAAAAGATATTTTCGTAACAAAGAATAAATTTGTATGAATCATTAAAAAAAGAAGAAAATGATAATTGTTTTTTGTTTAAAGCCTAGGTTGTAATTGACGTAATCGTTTATTTTCAGCTCTAAGACGTTCGATTTCATCGATTAATTGAGCATTTAATGAATGAGATTCAATTTGTTTCATTAAATCATTCTAAAATAAATATATTTAATTAATATTAAAAAATAAAATTTTAATAATTTACTTTAAGTCTTTCTAATTCAACAATAAAATTAGTTTGCATTGAAATTTTTGTTCTATTAAGATCATTTTTTAAATCTTCATGTAAAGCATTAACTCGATTATCTATCATTATTTGAAATAAATCTTCTTGATCATTATTACTATTTTGATTTGTTCGATCTATTATTATTTATAATAAAAAATAATTTTAAAATTATAATAAAATACATACGATGATCATTTTCAATAGGAGAAGGCAGAGAAATTCCACATAATTTTGTAAAATCTTCAAAACTCATACAATCATTAGTATTCATTCTCGATATTGACTAGAATTATATAAATTTATTTTGTTTTTCTATATTAAAATTCTATATATGTTTTATTTTCATAACGATCCGTAGTTTCTATAATTGAAAATTAAAATAAGAATTTCTTTTTTTTTCTATTATTAAAATCTTAACAAAAACTTACGTTGTCGTAGAGATGATAAACCTTAATGAAAACAAAAAAAAAGGAATAAATATATAATATTCTTATTGTTATAAATTAATTATTTTATTTAATTTAATTGAAAAAAATTCAAATTTTTTATATTTAATATTGAAATAAAAAATAAACAAATAATTTTAATTGATTATTTAATAAAAAGGGTGGGTGGTATGGGTGTGGCCATAGGCGGCGGAGCCACGAGGCCTGGGTAGGCTCGGGTAGGCTCGAGTTATCCTAAATTAAACATATAAAAAAGCTTGAGTAGGCTCGAATCGTCTTAGATTGAGGAGATAAAAGAGGCTTAGATAGGCTCTGTTTAATGTTAAAATTCTCTAAAGGGTGGTTCAAAAGTTTCGACCACTCTTTATAAATCGATAGTATCTACAACAACCTAATATGAAGTTATTGATCAAATTACATCATCTTTTAGAGAAAGATAAGAGTTATCATGTGAAAAAATATTTGGAAATAGATCTGGCATCTCACCAACACTTTGTAAAAAAAAAGAGAAAAAAAGATGCCCAGCGTTCTTGAAGAAAAAGAGACTTTTTAATAAAAAAAAAGAGGAGAAAAAGAGGCGTACACTTTCCTTTCGAAGAAAACTAAAACTCACTAGCACTGTAGTACTATAGATCCGACAAAACTCGTACGTTATCAGTATAGGTTGAATATGACTTGAGAGAGAAAAACAAAAACGAAACTTCCAAATTGTTCAAAGATTTTTGTGCAGCTGCTTATTTATCCATTAGAAAACCGGAAAACATTAGAAAAATATTCTAAATATTCTATCTGCATAGTATCTGAGTATAATATTACTGTCTAACTAAGTAGGTATATAGAAATAGAAACAATCAAAATTCATTAAATGTCCTTTTTGCGTTTCGTTCCTATTTTTCGGATGGCTGCGCATGTGAGAAAGTTTTTCTTGCGCTTTTTCAATTTTCGGCAATTCTTCCATGATTTTGACCATTTTTCGCAAGTCAGTTTCACTTTTCCGTTTCTCAACATAAATTAATACATTGGTTGCAACTGTGTCCAGACAGCAGGTTTGTGGGAATCATTTGACCGTGTGCTATCGAAAACGCTTAATTTTTCGCAGTGACATATGATCATCTTCTTGGGTTCTGTATAAAACGACTTACTTGGATTGAGTAGATTGTATGATCTCTTACTTTTTGGTTATCGAATACCCCTGTTTGTTGCTATTGCATCCCATCATATCCGATTTCTTCCAAGTATCATCAAACCGTTGTCAATATTAACCCATGTCAAGCAAACACGCTCGTAATTGGAGAAATACGGCGTTTCATATCGGCCAGTAATGTGATCGTATAAATCCGTGATCGTATGCGCAAAAATATGATCGTTTATAGACAAACAAAGCTCGTCTATACTCTTCGTTTTACTTTGTATTTCTTCGTATACGATTATATTTCTCCGTGTACGGTTTGGAGATATACGAACCTCCAAAATGTGATTGTATACGAAGAAACTCGGAAGAAGAGGAAGAGGGATTACTTCATTTTCTGATAAGCAGAAATCTTCATCTTATGTTATCATACTATCAGAAGCTATCTTGCTGAACAAATCCCATTAAAATCTGACAGAATTCTAGACTGAATCTAGTCATCCTAGGAACTCTTTGCTTTGAAGCATGCGCTATGCTACGAGTTACCTATCTATTGTTAGATTCATATCACAAGCTTCTATGGAGCCGAAAAAAATGGCCAAGAAAAGTGAGCTCGAGATTATAATTATGCATGTCGATCTTAACCAGAAAAACATGTTAAGATCGTGAGAGAATGACGATTTCATATTGGAAACATAATTGAGTGCTTTTGCTTCCGCTAGAGAACTACAAAAAATGGGTTCCGATTATGGATATATAATATCGTTGAAGTTGATCACTAAAATCATATACTTTAGCTTCCTTTGCTATGCAACTTGACTGATCAGCACATCAGTTTGTTATGTGATATTTTTGTATGATACGTTAACAATAATCAATATATTCATGAATATTTTTGTCAACGACCTGCTTCTTCGTGAGAAAAGAGGAAAAAGTGGATTTTTTCGAAAAGAGAGGCTAAAAAGAGGAATTTTAAAAGAACAGAAGAAAAGGAGGAAAAAGAGATGGAGTGGGATGCTAGCTCAAAGCTGCTAAAATGATCATAACATTATAATAGATTTATGTATTTCGAAATATTTTTTTCAAATGATAACTCTCATCTTCCTCTACAAAATAACACAATTTGATCAATAACTTTGTATAAGTTTGTTGTGGATATTATCGATTTATAGAGAGGGGTCGAAACTTTCGAACTATCCTTTAGTTATCAAACTCTACGGAATTTAAACCTCACAAGAGAATCTGTAGCGCTTACCATTATAAACGAAAAAGAAGTCTTTCAATTGGCTCTCGGTGCTGGCTTGGCTTAAAAGTTGAGTCTACCCTAGACCAAAACCGTTCCGCCGCCCATGGGTGTGGCTGTAGATATTTCTTGAAATAACTAAGGACACCCTCCACACCGAAGCCCATCCGCATTCACTCACACCCCACGCCCACACCCACACCCACCCACACCCCACACCTACACGCACACCCAACATTTTTATTTCCAATGAACCCAATATTTTAAGTACAAGTTGTTTTCGAATTTCAAGTTTAGAACAACATATATTTTGTCAATTAGCATCTATCTGGTCTGTCGTTTTCAGAATTTTTCACCAATGATACGAGAGATCAAAGTATAGACAACGGAGCTAGGCAAGATTCAACAAAGATCGCATTAACGGCGGAAAACTATCGACAGTATTTGGTGAAGCGAGCTGTGCACAAATAAAAGCTCGAAATTGTTTCATCGCCATCTGAATTTGTAAGATTACGCTCGTCAACTGCGTAAATTGTATGATCGTCTTTCCTTCGCCCTGTTTGTTCACCAAATAACTCCAAAGCAATTTCGTATAACGAGATTGAGCTCGATTAACAGCTAATGAATCATTCAGTCGAGGTTCTTCCTCACTCATCGACAAGCCCTTAGAGAAAAGAAGGATAACAATGAGAAGGCACAACAGTACGGGTTCTTGTTCAGTGACTTTCAAAAGTGACTTCATCTTGTCCTCCATCGTATTGTATAAATCTCGCGATTCATGGTAAATTGTAAGTAAGTGATGAAGCATACCCCAAACTTCATTCGGAAACTCTGAATACCAGCCGATCGACGAATTATAGCTGAGGCATTTATGTAAAAAGAGGAGAGCAGGCAAATTGTATTTGATCAAAATGAATCGATCGTTTGCATTCAACGCCTCAAATTCGTCGAGACGACGGGAAGAAACAATCAGATTAAGGACGGTTTCATTTCTAATGTGCGACCAGCATATGAGGGAGGACAAAGGATCAGACAAATCATAAGGACATGGTGAGAAACGATGTTGAAAGTCGTGGAAGTAGAAGGATTGAACATTTTGAATGACTAATAAATCTTCTGCTGAAAGAATTTGAGACGATGTCCTGTGGATCTCATCAGAATCAGTGCGCTTGTGAAAGGAAACAGTAGCATCAGCATTGTCCACGTTCATCAAAAATTGAAAAGAGAAAACATATAAAATGTATAGTATTTTAAATTTTCTTCGGACAGAACGAAAGTACCGTATTCTTCATTTTAATTCGTTAAGGATAGAAACCCTAGAAATATGAATTTTTTTTCCTTGCATGTAGAAAGATTGATCAAACCAAGAATGCATATATTAATGAATTTTTTCGCAAACTATACGAACGAAAGTCAATTACTTTGTAAACTTTAATAAACCCCTCTACATATTGGAAGATCTTCCTAATAAAAGACCTTCCCTCAATAGAAGATCCCTCGCATGGAATGGTGTGAAATTTATATTAGAAGGCCCGGATCTTCTAAAAAACAAGAATTCATTCAAATGTTATTAACCCCTTTTTTTCGTTGGATAATTGCTGGATGATGTTTATTAGGGAATAAATTTTGCGGAAGAATAGAAAAGAAAGTGATAGCTTATGCCCGTATAACAAGAGTATATTTTCTTCGGAGAAAGATAAACATATTTTCAGCTTGAGTTAATAGGAGAAAAGACAGAAATATAAACTATGAAAGGCGAGAGACAAATATTACACTTCATCTGTATCAGATATATGATCCATTTACTTAATATATGAAATATGGCGTAACAACATCTTGCACTGCTTTGTAACGATGAGGATTCACATATTGATAATTGTGTCACTTCTAATAGATGATTCAGGTGCAGAAATTATTTCAACTATGAATGAATGTGAACGTGTATTAGTATGCATATCAACATATCTTCAATTAGATTCCAAATTAGACAATTAAAATGATTTAACTTCTGAATGCTCCGATCTATCTCCATCGTTATTGCTTTTAAGCTCCTCAGATGTTGACGAATTACGTTAGTATCATTGGGTAGTGTCCGTTTATAATGTTTATTGAAAATGCTAGTTTGCAAGAAAAATCTATGAGGCACAAACGATGTCAATCGATAGTTAAGGAAAAACTTGATGTTATCGTACTGTTTGATAAAACGCAAAGTAAACGTGTAGCTGAAATGAAAGAAGCATGCACGACGGCGTAATTAAGAAATAGGATTAGAAATAAAGAAAATCAATTTACAATTTACAAAAAAGATATATGAAAGATCATATTTAATATCATTTCACAATATCAATAGAACGTATTCTATTGAATGATAAGGACAAATCCTCAATCATAAGCAATTTACAGTGAAATAGGTTTTTATTTTCTCTATGAATTCCGATACTTTACCGGAATCCATTTTGACTCATCAACAGTAATTTCTTCAACAAAAATTGATGATGATGATAATGACGACAAAAAATAATATAAAGAAAAGAAAACGATGGTCCAAAATAATACGAATTTATATTTATTAAGCACCACTAATAATCATGAAATCATATAACTCAGTGTAAATCAGTTTATAAAAACATGAAATTTAACTGTAGTTCATCATTTGTTTTTATTTCTTTATTATTTTTATTTTGTATTTGAAACATAATCTTAGTTAACTACCTAAAAGGTTATAAGTAGATTGGATCCTTCATAAGTACTAAAGCACGTTCAAATATCAATCATAATAGAAGACTTCTCCTAATATAAGACCTCTCGAAATAGAAGATCCCTTTAAAAATTTTGTGCGCTAAAGCGTAACAGAAGACCAAACGTCTTTTATTGAGATAGGGGAGGGGGGAGGGGAAGGTGTACTTCAAACACTATGCCTAACTATTACTATTGACTTTCAACAAATCGTTGAAAATTATGGATGGCAGACTTCAAACTTTGTTTCTGTCCTTCCGACTTCTAGACTTTGTAATGTTATGGAAGATGATTATTCTCAAACATGTAGAACCTAAGCTCAAGTCTTAGCAGTATGATAAATAATTCTATCGATAATCATGACATGTTTTGCTGCACGAGTTCAACTTACAAGATCAATTTCATCAGGTTTCTGTGAAAGAGATTCAGTGGTAGATGAAGAAAGTGGCGCAGAACATGACCCAGTAGATTCTTTCAAAGGCTGAAGTATGCTCGATAAATTAGTATTTTTGTTGACGCACCGTTGTCGTCGTTGTTTCTCTTCTTCACTGAAGAAATGATCTTTTCGCATGCCCTTAATAAAACAGCGTTCCAGCCGACACTTTGGACATTTGTGACGTATGCCATGGGAAACGGAACATTTACCTTGGCCATGGATGCAACGTATCTTTCCCTAGAGAAGACGAATTGAAATCAATAAAAAGAGTGAAAGAGGAGAGACAGACCACGGGTTGACGAGCATTTCGACTAAAGAAAACCTTACACGAGTTACAAGTAGGAGCGCCGTAATGATATCCAATGGCATGATCACCACAGACGACGCAGAGAACATGAGTAGCCTCTTTAATAGTTTTAGTCTGTTTGAGTCGAGTGGAGTGAGATAAGTCTTGAGCATGTTTGTACCGATGATCACGATTTGAACTTTGTGAAGACTTTGCGACTTTTACTGAGTATTTAGTAAGAGTATTGATCGGTTCAAGGAGTTCAGTGCGAAAAGTCAGATCGGCGAAATTGCCTATGTCTTGATGTGCTGAGGTACTTTGAGTATTGTCATCCAAATCAATGATCTGCGTGTTTTCAGTGTCCATCGTGGAAATTTTTCGAATGAAATCTTCGTTGCAGGTAACAATCATGATTTTCTTCTGGCAACTCATCTTCTTGTCCTTTGATTGATGATGTATTCTTTTTAATACTGTCGTCTATTCTATAATTCAATAATACTACCAAATAATAATCACAACAACGGTAACCAAAGACAGAATATGAAGAAAACGAAAAACAAAAATGAAAAGAACCATAAGTATAGTTGTGTAAGCAAAAAAGTGTGGACATGGAGGAAAAGAAAAAAAGAAAATTGAAAGACAAAGAAAGTATTTGTGTTTCTCTTTTTTTGCATATCATAGCAAGCTACTACCAGTCTTCGTCATCCTCAACAATGTGATTGACACAATCATCTTGCGTGATCTGCATTTTGTAGTTAAACTAATACTATAAAATTCGGATTTAGACGTTGAAGAATCTGAAACTATACAGTTTCAGATATTTTAACAATTTTAATTTTGTACTACGGTAAATTTGAGTGCTCTAAAGCAAATCTATTTGCAACAATCTTTGATTGACAAATTACATCTTATATGCCTCTTATAGTTGGCAACAGAAGCTCTACTAGGTTCTACATGCAAGTCATACAATGATCTATACAGAATACTACTTTCAGATGTTTTTGAGCCGCAATATTTCTTCTATAACAACTATGCACACTGCACTAGTTCGGCTTTTTTTCAATTAAATTTACTTGCTGAAAGAAGTAGAAGGATGCCTATGATTGAAAGCCTCACAATCGAATTGTAGGTAGCGAGCTAGCTCATTTTACTTTGCATTTTGTTTGAGAGTAACAACGAATCTGGTAATATTGAAACTGATTTTTTTGAGTATTTACGGATTTTTGTCCACTCGAGCTTTATGGCTTATCTCAATGTGAACTTATTTGTTAAATAGCTGACCACTATAAGGGAGGGTGTGGGTGTGGCTGTAGTTTTCTTTTAACCCACACCCACACCCTCGGGCAATATTCTAGTCTGGTTAATGAGGACGAGATTGTGTCAATGCACATAGAAAATTTGTTGAAAGTTTACTCTTTCGGACTCGGTCATCTTGTACATTGTTCAGTTTCTTTTGATTGGAAGTGTTTTAAAAAGTTGTTAAAAGCAGTTCCCATCGCTTAGCTTCACGAGATTTTAATATGAGATTTCTGTCACTCTGAACTTCTCGGTGTCTCCAGAATCTATTTCCTTCCGATTGCTTGTGAAAAATGTATATTTTATGCATTTGTTTACATTGATTAAGAATATCATTTTGACATTAGGAGAAGATTAGATTTTCATAATAAAAATCATTTTACGGATAATCTCCGCATGACACCATGTTTTTGGATAGACTAAATTCCTATCGAAGTAAAAGGTAAATTGTTTGCACATTCAAGTCGTCACAAATACAGCTCCCAAATTGACAGTTAGTGTTGGAAGAGAAAGAAACCATACTGATATACAAGCGTGTCGTAAGCAAATTTACGATCGTGCAATTTTATCTTAAAGTATTACACATGCAAGACGAGATAAGCAAATATTTTTCTCTTACATTTAAACAAAATAGAAACAAAGGTTTTGTTTCCATTGATACATTGGATAATTCACCTGTTTTCAATGCGGGGTGTGGGTCTGAATGTGGATGTGGGTAAATATCATTCACACCCACACCCTCATCATGTGAGAAGACTTTTTTAAAACTTTTTTCGCAAAAAAAAGAATTTTATTTAGATATCACAATGAGCAAAAGATAAAATTGTTGTTAAATGGTTTGAATAATTTGATACATTATTATCGGTAAATAATCGTATAAAAAGTCTACAAAAACAAAATTCTCGTCGAGATATTCATTGGTTTGTTTTATTATTCGAGAAATTTTATTAATAAAGTTTTTCTTTTTTTTTTTGTTTTTCCTTTTATAAAGATTTTTTCAAACTTATCCTGATCTTTTAACGGATCTACTTGAGCAAACAAATGATGTAGAACATTCCAAATTAACTCGAATTTTGAAAATTACGACAATGACAATCAATATTTTTATCACAATAGGCGATAGATTCTTCTATTTTATTATTCATTGTTTTCATTTTCTTTCTCATTTGATGCAATGATTTTCAACATTAGATACTGCGTTATATAATAGACGCAAGAAAAAAATACTGATGTTTGAGAATACTCTTTCATTAGGTCTTGTAATAGTTTACATTTGATACTATGTTATTGTTTTTTTTTATTATTATCTATCTTTCTGTGATTGTCTTGTTTTCATCTTAGTCATAAGATATAAAATAAATACCGACATCATATTTATGATGAATATTTTATTAGAGTTTCTTTTTCCAGGCAAATGTTATTTCACGAACTATGGTATTCATCGGTTTACTTTTTGAACGTTCATTTTTCTGTATTTATTTGGCTACATTTCTTTCTTTATTGTCACAATGATAAGATCAAATAGGTTATATTGGTCTTTTGCCTGCATGTGGCTTCGTTCGTCATTGGAAAGCACGAGACATGACATTTTTTAGAATGTCCAACTTTCTATCTAAGTATTTCTAATTATGATAATTTTCTTTCTACAATTGTTTATTAGATAAGAAATACTTTCTTTCAATATTTGGGTGTGGTTGTAGTTGATGGAGATATCCACACTCTAAACCCACATCCATCTTAGACGAAGACAAATGGATTATACTCATGTCCTTAGTATCAATATTCTGCTTATTAGTTAACGACTAATTTACCAAAGTTATTTTTTTATGTTATTATTTTATTAAAGATAACTCATTTTCAAAATAATTAGATGATCATGATCATAGAACATTCTTTAACTATTTATCTTTATTAACACATATTCAGATAAACTATATTTACAATAAAGGAAAATATAGAAGATAATTTTTAGGACAAACATATAAATTATCTATAAGCAGAGACTTTATTTACGAACAAGTAAAATGGTTGATGATAATTGCAAATGTTTAATATTTGATATTAAGATTGCGTAAATAAAGCAAAACAATGTTTCTCGCATAAAAAACTCTTTAACATAATTGATGCATGTTAAACAAAATATCCAACTCGACAAGATAAGCAAATGCTATCAATGTAAATCAACGTTGTCTATTCCGTTATTACTTAGAATTAGGTATACATAAAGTTCGATATAAAGGAAAATTTTGAGAAACTTTCCCGAATAAATCATGTTCAAATACATCTATATCAGACATTATCAATGATGGAACGTTAACAGACATACTACCTTTAAAATATTGTTTAAATAGAGAAAAGTATTGAATTTATATGGAAGTGAATATATATGGCATTGATGACCGTACTCATCTTGCATATTATAAACAAATAAAGAAATGTATTGATTTTCATTTTCGATAATAATGCATGGAATATCTTTATTTGATAGGGGATCAATCCTAATATTTGTGTCCAAAGATTCAGTGTATATACTGAAATTAAATTTGTTAAATAGTGGCATATGAACGCGAATATCATTGATAAAAGAGTTCCACTGATATAAGTCAAATTCCTTCGTTTTACATTAAGCAATAATATCAATTCTTCAAAATTAAACATCCAAAGAAACAGTTGGTTTATTCGATCATCATATTGCGATGTGTAATGAGTAAAAACGAACAAAAAATGTCTCAGTTTGGGAAGTTTTTTTTAGAGAGATCAAAAATTTACAATATCTATCAATTAATTTGATAATATTCTTTTTGATATAAAAATTCAATTTATTTTAACTATGTGATCTATATTTGATGATAGATTTTATATTCTAAGAACATCGATAAACAATGCTGATAGACATTCCAAATGTTCATCAAAACAATAAAGACAATCATCAAAATTTTTCACTTTGATTTTTATTTTAATTCATGTAGATGACATACAATGGACGGGGAGTGAGTTCTCTTCATTCACACATGAACTCGCTCCCATCGCAGAAGACTTCGATTTCTGGGTAGTCTATCCTCTCTCCGCCAGACCTTCAGAAAATTTTATTATCGGACGCGATAGAAATTATCGGTTAACATTTCCATTGTCGATCCCTTTACATTTTGAGAAACATAGGCTATGCGTTGACAAAGATCCGTAAGTCTCGACGACCCCTGAATGCGTCACACGATTACATTTCAGAGGACTGTAACTACAGGTCCAATCCTCTAGAAATTAACAAAACTGATATAATACAGACAGAGTGAAAAAGATACATACCTGGACAGCACCATCCTTGGCGCCATGCGGCCATAACAAACCAAAATGGAATCTCATCTATGACAAGAACAGAGCCGGTGAAATAGATCAGAATATCGATATAGTTAATTGTTTTTGGATGTGAGTAAGTATGTCAGTGAAATGAATACCCACATCTACCCCATCCTCTTCGAGTATTTTTAAGTTTCGAGATATTTTCTTTGAGTCTTGAATGCAGCATATATATCTCTCTTCCAACATGCTTAATTGAGCACTTGACTCATCTCATCTTCTTATTCTTCTGTGTTGTTCAACAATCGTCTAGTTTTCAAATGTCTTTCGCTTCTCGTCAAACTGTTGATCTGAATCATTTTCACACATTCTCCAGTTAACACTCCGAGTTCTTCCTCAATGTGTTAAATCCTGCTCGGATTCAAATTCTCGTCCTGAATCAATAGGTGTAATACCGAAAAAGACAAGTGGAGGTCTAACAGATTATGGTTCTGGAAATCATTTAAAACAACAGCACGATCTGGCACCAATTGGAAAAACATCTTCGTTGGCGTCATGCTCTTTCTTGAATGCCAACTCAAGATCGTATCAATTATCAATTCAGAGAAATTTCAATTGTGATTCTCATTACATGTGTTCTCTATTTAAAACTTGATAAAAACATGACAATCAAACTAAAAATGTCTCATAGTAGCGAACGTGTCGATGATCACTATCGAGGCCTTATGTAGTGCTCCATTGTTGATTTAGAACTTGTCTCGTTCACACATTCTCAATATGAAAATCGAGATTGATTCCATCATGGAGATAGACATCAAATATATTCCATTATTCGTGTCTTTTTATGCAAAACTCATCTGGAAAAGCTGATCGTTATTTTTAGAATTTATTGTTGGAACATCGTGAGACTCAGAGAAAGAATGATCAATAAGTAGTTTAAGGGGGGGGGGGGGGCCCTCTCCTCAGAAACCAACTTTGTTATTTTCTCAGCCGATTTCAACCAAAATCTCAGAGAATGTTAGTCTTGGCTAGCATAGGTTGTGCTTAAAATATCTCCCCCCAAATTTCAAAGATATGCACTAGTTCTAGTCAATTCATTATCCTTTACGCGGACAAGGTTTTCATAACGGGAATACTAGCTAAGCATGTCAACGTGATTTTTAAATTGTGGAGTGCCCTTAGGACTAGATCCTCACCGGATCCGATTTTTGAATTTCTCTTTGTTTGATTTTAAAAATACCTTTTCGAAAAATTTTCAAATTCAAGACGCTCATAAAAATGAAATATCTAAGTTTTTTATTTCAGCAAAAGAGAAATTCAAAAATTGGATCCTATGAGGATCTAGCTCTACCTGTGTACTATGTATTAAAAAAAATTATCACTTCTCTATTGAGTCATTAATAAAAAAAACCTTGCCCGCGTAGACGGTATACTCGAAAAAACTAATTCTGAGAAAAACGCAAAAGAAGTTTTTAAAAAATCAAAGGTTTCTGAATATGAGAGTTTAAAAATCCTGTATAATTTCCTTAAACCTCATTATAAAATCAATAAACTTTAGTGCATTCGAGAGTAGACACTTTGCTCTATATAGCCTGTTATGAATCACAAAATCGATAAATTTAACCGAAATTAACTTTTCTGAGGGATGGATCTCCCTTAATATGATATTGTGACTCTGTTTTGTGCAGAAGTGAGATTCAAAGAGAGTCATTTCAATATGATGAGGCAACATAAAGAACCGCAAAACTAAAGAACTAATCATGTGATTTTTAAGAAGAAAATGAATAATTCAACATCATGACTCAAATATTAGTTAGCTTCTGTGTTTTGTCTTTAATGATATATGTGAATATATTAAACCTAACTGATTATATTGCGAACTAGAGTGTTTCCATTTACAGTCCAAGAGAATGCTAAGTACAGTTACGTAGGACTTTGACCCCCTTGTGTACTTCAGAAGCATAAACATTTTTTAAATAATTTTTCATTTTCTTTCACTGCAGTGGATAACAGCGAAAAAAACTAGCAGAAGCATGGGAAGACTGAAATCAGATCAATTGAAAATATTCTTAGTCCAAATGTCAAACTAAGTAGATGCGATCAAATTCGACTGCGCAAGTATTTAAGCTATATTTGCTCTAAACTTGCTTCAGTGTACGTCAAACATGAAGGAAAAAAATCATGCCTTATGTCTCGTGCCTTAAATACTCGCGTGGCATAAGCACGAAAAAAAAAACATTCTGGCATTGTTTGTTATACAACGTGGTTCTCAATTATCTGTCATAAGCGATCAATTATAATGATATTTCTACATTCGGAGGAATTTTGCTGTTTTATCGACACTGAAGTACTCACCTTCAGCTGTAGTAGTTCGAATTGTAGTAGTCTTGGTGGCAATTGTAGTGCTTGTCACTATGTTTTAAAAGAAAAACAAAAATTTTTATTAAAATATTTTGAACAGACTCATTTTATTTCGATACTCAAATAAGAGAGTAACATAGTGATCAATTCGTCTAAAAAATGATCGAAAACGATAATTTCTCTTGGCAGATTTAAAGTTCAAGATGAATATTGATAACACAACTTTCACCGAATGCTCACGTTTGTCCGACAAAAGTTATAAGACAGATTATTTCAATGTCATAGATATTGTGATTAAGAGAACTCTTTCCCAAAAAACTATATCCTCTATTGAATGGCATAACAGTATTACTAAAAAATAGAACGAATAATTCCGTTGGTGCCACTACTAATAACATGTATTTGTTCAATATTCTTGTAGATTATTTGAAGTATTTAAAGTCACAAAATCATTTTTCCTCAATTGAGAAATCAGAAAACTAAATTTTATTTGCAGACGAAAAAAATTACAAATAGTGGCAGAGCAAATCTAGTGTTTTACGACGATTGTGCTGGTACTGCACTAGTAGTTGTTGAAAGTAAAGAGCTTTCAATGTTCACCCCCGTAGAAAGTATGTGCTGATAAACTTTTTAAAAATGGACTGTCTTCATCTATTCAAAGAAAGTTTAGATATTATGCCATATAGATGGTAAGTAACTAAATCATGTTTTCAGTATGTATATCTCAATGATTGTAGGACTCAAGATAATATTTATATTTTCATGAAGAATATCTATGGCATGATGTATAACTGTACACACAGTGAAAGTGCACAAATATTCCTCTTTGCCAGTTTTTTAGTTTGTCGCTAAGCCATTTAGAGAGAAAATTTTCGTGAGTTAACTTATTGGACGATGACTTTGGTCTAACAACACCAAAGATATACTCATTCAGCTCCCAGGTCCTACTTCAATATAGATTTAGTAGCACACATACTGATGCGATCATGAAAAAGTTGAAACTTTTAGAACCTAAGTAGTACATGTACTAGAATAGATCATGTATTCATCGAGAACTTACTCGAATAAGCGGGATCTCTCCCGCGAACATAGACTCCCCAGATCAAGAAGACAAACCACATCACAAACATAGTCACAATTGCAATCCAAAACTGGTGTTTGTGACAGAAATTATTGCAAGACGCAGAGTGATTTCCAGCATTTTGTATTAAAGCTACGCTACTGTTAGGCATATGTTGTATTTGCGTAAGAATTGCTGGATCAACATTTATGTTATTGTTATATGATATCGTCGAACTTTGCTGTTGAACAACTGCATTATTAAAATTTCTGTTGTTGTTGTAGGCCATCATTGAGCTTCGCTGTTGAGCGGCCAAATTTCTCAAATAATCGTCAGCTTGTAATTCTTTAATATCGAGCGGCTCTCGTGTGACTGGACTGGTACCGTGTTCCGTGATCCATTGTACAATTGCTGCACGCTCATATGTACGACCATCAGCGGCGATTACAGGATCACGAAAGATTTGAAGTGTAATCGGACAAGTTAGATCATCGATCTCAATGTCACTTTTTACATTCGATTTCATCGTCGTCGACCTTTATCTGTAATAGTAAACAATGTTCAGAATTCTAATGATACAACAGACTTATTGTAGTCGACTCTGAGATAATACTAACATGTTGTTTACCACAGAAAATTGGTAGGCTATCTCACTAGCGGTTAGATTTTTTCTCTCGTTTGACTTGTTTGACTTTCGTGATTGAATATAATAACCTTAAATAGATGTTTGCCCTTCTCAACAGTACGAATGCTCGAATTATTCAAGTAGCATGATCCTTGAGGTATTAAAATGTGAAACACTATGAAGATTACTATGTATTATTACAGTGAATATGTAATAACAATGAAAGACAAGTATCTTAAATTTAATCGTGCTCCACAATAATTTTTCAATTAGCTTGAGTTTCGTGGCAATGTCTCTCATGGTCTGTGATGGAAGCGACATTGTCAATGTGTCTGCCACGTGTGTGTAGAAAGGAAGGTACATATTTCAATCCTTGTACACTTCAACAATCCGTTAGATCATGTTTTTGAAAAAAAAAAGAAAAAGAATAAAAGTGACAAAGACAACATTGAGAGAATCATTAGATTAAGAAAAATAATAAAAACAAATTAGGCAAATAGATAAAATTAGAATTCTATGGGATAGTCCTGAATCCAGAAAAATTTCATTTTTCTCGTCTCATGCGACATTTGGGACACGAAAACAGTTTGTTTGGCAGAACTCTACATAGAGACTAAATAGAAGTTAATTACTCTAAAGCTAAATACGACAAGAAGACAAATCATCTTGTTTCACACTTAATATAAAATTATTATCAGTTGAGACGAACAAGAGTATGTGTGCCTCGCATGTTTAGTATCTTTTCTCTTTCCTTTTCTCATTGATAAGTCAAATATATCAATCAAAGAGAAAACTGAGTAAAACACGTAGATAATTATACGCAAATAACGAAAACTCAATAATTACGATATTAGATTGGAAGATATATATATAAACTTGGAAGCGAGATTGAGTATAAGAAGATTGGATGTTATTTAATTTACTTAAATCATACTCTTGATATTAATTGATGATATAATTAGCATGTCGCACGACACTTTGTTGTTGTAAAATGTGATAAAACTAAAGTAGTATCATAAGTACTACGCTCAATGTTCTGCTGGTATTGTTTATTCATTTTATTCGTATTAACAGAAGCATTAAAATCGAAAATATACATACATACATAGCAGAGACACATCTATCTTAAATTTTTGGATATTTTTCGATTTCTGCGATTGAAGTTTTTCGTTGTATTTGTAATTTAAACTGTACATTCAATATATATAAATGTCTA